CGCTCTACACTTGTTATCCAGAGCGGCAGCAATATCACTGTAGACACGAAGTAGGGCCGTCTCAGTGGAATGTCCTGTGCGATAGGCTGATTGCCAGTTGTCATGAAGACTGTTAGCATTGAGATGAGCCTTAAGTCGCTGGGACACAATCTTCTCCAAGATCTTAGATAAGAAAGGAAGATTTGACACCGGACGGTAGTTCTTTAATTCTTCTTTGTTCAGTCCAGGCTTCTTCAGCAGTGGTCTTACAGTAGCCTTCTTGAAACACAATGGAACCCTAGACTCTGCTAATGATTTATTCATGATTAAGGTGATCAAGGGGAGCAGTGCATCAAGACATTGCTTCAGTAAAACTGTGGGAAGCGGGTCCAGCTCACAGGATTTCGATTGAGAGTTTGTAATGATCTTGCGCAATTCTTCTTCAGTTGTTGGAGTGAACTGCGTCAAAGGTTCACCAGAGAATTGGATATCGGCATCCATGGCAGAGATGCCAGTGTCGGAAGTTGAGTTCACAACATCAATCTTTTGCCTGATTGTATTGATTTTATCCTGGAAAAAATCACTGAACTTGTTGGACAAGATTTTTTCAGAAGAACAGCTTGGTAGGGCGATTTCACCAGTATGTCCCATAAGGTTTCTGGTGAGTCTAAAAAGCTGTCTTGTATCCGATCCACATTCTGTGATTTTTCCTGAATAATAATCCTTCTTACGTTGAATGAGTAGTGAACTGACTGCCCGACAATGTTCTCTGTATATCTGGCGATGGATGGTTAGTTTGGTCTTTCGCCAACGTTTCTCCGCCTTCCTCCGCACATGTCATACATACCGACGTGTGAACGTAGTATCACAGAGCGAGATTTACCGATAGGTACTCAGGGTGAGTACAGTTCATCATATTATTTATACTTACACACATATATATTATACACACCACCCATACTTATATATATATACGATGTACTACATATTCCCCCTCCCTGTCTCCTTACATTTCAGCTAACCTCATATGTATGGGAGACATATATACATAAGTACATCATGGCTGGCTTTGTAACTGTCCTAGAACAAATTACTGATTTGGCTAAGAGCCACAATTAACAATAATATTGAGGTTTACTACTCAGCCTTATTGAGTCGGTGCGCTTAGGTACCACTATGGATTTACGTATTCGTAGCACTAGAATAAATAAGTTCTTATTTGCATGTAAATATCCTATTTACTCAGGGATAATAGGTATCAAACATAGGAGGAGTCAACTTTCTGCACCTTTTCAAGAAAAGGTTAATGACAATACTGATCACTAGTCATGTGGTCGGGCCAGTCCCTACCAGCACTATGACATTTGAGCTTGCATGAGTACGGAAAATAAAACGGTCTTCCAATGAAAGAATGCACAAATACTGACTCGGTCTTGTTTACTACAGATCTAGATTCAGTGAGGAGTACTGCGGAGGATAAACTCACTGAGCGTAACTGTCAGGTGGTTTTCTGGGCCGCACTAATCTTCTTCCACGACCTCTGAAATGTCAAGGTCATGGACCCCATCGATTACATGACTGTCACCCTGGTTATATTTTCTATTCTTCAAGTAAGTAACTTGTCAGACTAGTGTAGTCTGCCAAACATGAGCTCTGATCTAACTCATTTTCCGTCACAACTTTGAGATGCTCCAAACAGTCAGGTTCAGGTATTCGCATGTGCGGTTTTGGGTTATCTTTGCAGTTTTCTGGGACGCGTTGGTGAAAGTACAGAGACATCAGATTCCGATTCCGAGAGTTGGACTCTGATGATGCTGGATTTGGCGTAGCCTATAGAACAGCGGCAGACTTCATAGGCCTAACCTTACGGTTTGGAAAGTCAGGGTCTTCCATAGGGATGAAATTTAAGGGAAGCAACATGTTACGGTGCAATGTTCGGTTACGACGTTTGCCCGATTCGTATTTCACCTCATACACAAGGATTTCACTGTTGAGGATATTTACCACCAAATAGGGTTCCCGTTCCCACCTGTCAGTCAGTTTAAGTTTGCCGTTTAGACCTACGTTTCTTATCAGAACTCGGTCTCTAATCTCCAGCTTAAGAGTTCCGCACCGATCGATCATACCGATCTTTATTCTGTTTAGCCTCTTAGTAGCCTCATTCTGTGCAGTCCTATAGGCGAACTCCATCCTAGTTCGCAGTAACATCACTTTTGGCCGTCTTGTAGGCCTGGACCAGTGGAGCAATATACGATTTCCAATCAGCTTTCTTAGCCTCATCTAGTGTGCCAAGCATCCTGAGAAGGATCTAGTTAAAACTTTCTACTGAACCATTTCTCATTTGGTGATACAGGAAAGTTCTGGAATTCTCACGTCACTATGTAGCCACTCTGGGAAGCTATAGTGAACAATCTCATATAAAGCTTTCGCAGTGGTCCGTGCCATCTGGTTACGACATGGTATCTCCTGGGCATACTTGGTAATGTGATCTGTGATCACCAGAATATCCTCTATCCTCCATTGCACTTGTCTAATGTGAGAAAGTCTATAAGACCAACTCCATCGGATGGTTGAAGTGATGAGAATTAGCTCAGCAACAGACTCAGCTGGTGATTTTCGTCGAATGCAATACCCACAAGTTTCAACTTTCTAGTTTACATCATTCTAAAGTCCTAGCCAGTAGAACCATTGCCTTGCCAACCAAAGTGGTTTTTTTTTCTTTCCTCTGATGACTAGTGTCATCATGAACACTCTTAAGAGCAAGGAAATGACACTGTTTTGGCAGCACCAGCTGGTTAACCTTTTGACTGTCCAGAGAAGCGGTTCGATATAGTACACCATCAGGTAAACACAGCTTGTTCAACGTGCGATATATCTCCTGGACGTATAGAGTTTCCACCTTTAGACTTTCCCCCTGGGAGAAAAACCGGTTCTGAGCAGGTCAATAACCCGCGCTATGTCATTTTCCTTCTGTTGTTGTACTCTCCTATCCATTGACGGAAACGCATCGACCGAATCCTTGTCATCATTGGCCAAATGAGACACAGACCCGTCCGACACACTATCCACCAGCTGAGCGACTGACATACAGCCTAAACAACATCACCGAAATACGAGAGAGAACATCAGCATCTGTGTTAAGTTTCCTAGGGCGATACAATAGGGTGCAGTTATAATTTGCAACAGCGGCAACCCATCTATGCCCAGTGAGTTGTTACCAATGACAACCTTGAAAGTGTTACCATTAATGGTCATCATGGAACTTGTCGGTCACAGACGACGTGAGAGCTCAAAACTTATGAGCAGGTTTTTTCTCTCATTTGGTCTTAAACCACGGCTGGCATACGCGTTTACCCTCTCCGCACCATATTGTTCCTGATACAGGACAGCGCCAAGACCAATGACATGTATTCAAGATGAACGGTTTAGCATAAACAGCATAGGCAATAACATGCATAGTAAAATTTAAATGATAGGTAAATTAAAAGAGGTTGATATATGTAACTCGAATTATGTTTTCAACGTCCTTGATTTACAATTTAACACTTTTGTCCGAGAAAGGCTAGTGTGAGCCTGTATTCGGGTCTTACTACAGTGAATGTACAGTGATCATCATGTTGTTACATTCATATAAATACCGTTACCATTCATCATTACCATCATTTCCTCGTCATTGTTAAATCTGTCCACCACAAAGTCTTTATGGCTTATTGAAAAATAATACAACCACATCTGTGTATTGTCGATACCTTCGCTGTAGGATCGAGAACAAAGCTATCGAGATATGTAATACAGAAAAATAATACCACCACATCTGTGTATTGTCGATACCTTCGCTGTAGGATCGAGAACAAAGCTATCGAGATATGTAATACAGAAAAATGATACAACCGAATGATGCATATTTCCTTATCAATTTCGTCGTCTTTGTATAGAGGGAATTAAAGAGGAAATTGGTTTTCCTCTTATTGCTAATGTTGATACGGGCTATCAACTGTACCAAGACTATCGGGGACACACATATGTCGATTGATTTTGACAAATGCCATTGCTTTAAAGGAATACGTGCTTGTTTGTCATGTAGTATTGTTTCTGTCAGAACGTCTGTAAATATCGAACAGATAGCCTTGTGACAAGGGAAGAATAACAATGTCTATTAGTTTTATCGATCTCCTATAGATCAATACGTAGGTAACATATATATGATGGAGGGAGATTATAGATTACGAAAAGGGAATACGCTGCGTGAGTAAGTGTTTATACAGTAAAATTGTATTTATACCGTTAAACATTCCACGTTGGTATGGTGTTTAATGATCCAGGTTTGCATAAAGAAACATTAGGATTACTTTTGGGAAACCATGTGGTGAAGCTCCGGGAATCTTATGGGAAAAGTGAAGGGGGGATGTGGACTATCGGAGTATCTTGGGGTAAAGTATGAAGGTGTTTGGAAGGTAAAGATGAAGTATTTGGAAACCACGAGGAAATTGTTGGGGGAAACGGCAAATAAACTGTTTAGTGAAAATGTTAGGGAATCTGGAAACTGTTAATGGGGCCAACGGAGAGACGGGTTTGAAACCTTTGTGGAACTCCGTGGAAACATGCGTTGAAACTGCAAGTCATGAAAATTTTGAGGAAACTTCCGAGAAACTTTATGACAATTATTGGAGAACTGTGCTGCAGAGGAAGAACATTTACCGAAGTGCATGGTGCATCTATTACATCTTCCGTTAAGGAAACCAAATCCGACTCAGTCAAACAACCAAAACAAACAAACATCCTTTATTTCTTAAAATTGTTATATTTACATGATGTATAACGTTGATATGATGGTGTACGACACTTGAACACTGTCGTTATTACTGCCCTAAATCACTTTAAATGTCACTCTGTATATTCTGCGATGAAGAGCGATTAAAAACAGTCCACAGGGACGATTTAATCGACCTCATCAAGTCAACACACACAAAGCATTGTCCCCATAGCAGCGACAGCAGCAGCAGCAGCAGCAGCAGAAACAGCTCCGGTCTGAGAATGTCCGTAGAACCACACATGTAAGTGTTGATTTACTACAGAATTATTGTGACCAGTAAAAACAATTTATTAAACAATGTATAGGTACAGTTTATATATATACGCACACATACATACATACAAAGTTTTGATGATGACTCGGTTCTATTTAAAGATAAAAAGAGAATTATTAATATCCTTCTTGATTTACAGTAAAACCTCGATGTATTACATGTTATCAATTAACAGTAAAACCTCGATGTAATATACCTTGTTTATTTACAGTAAAACCTCGATGTAATACATGTTATCAATTAACAGTAAAACCTTAATGTAATACACCTTGTTTATTTACAGTAAAACCTCGATGTAATGCATGATATTAATCTACAGTAAAACAGTGATACACATCGTTGATTTACACAATACCTCGTAGTTTATACAAATAACACAAATGCTCAAGTAAGGGATTTTTTGTGTTGTAAAACTTATCTCTTATAACTACACAATCAATAACGGGTACCAGACTCGCATTACAAACTTTGGCAATCTTAGGGGCTACTCTGCATGTTTATTTCATAGACATTTAAAATGACTGAAAATTCCTGGTAGACATACACAGTGGGTGAGCCCAGCATGTTGTGGCTGTGTATCCGTGGCCAGGTGAGGCCAACAGGTATATGCTACTTAAATGAAATGTCAGATAAACCACCAGGTTAATATTGAATACTGAATACATTAAATAAATTGAGATTCATAACTGTAATAACTATATCTGAACTGGGGTAAAAAAAGTTTGATAACAAACAAACAGGTAGCCCAAACATAATGAAATAGTCATGCAAAACAATCAGAAATCAACTTCACTAGTACTATACACATGGAAAAAAGAAAACCACATAAAGTATAAATAATTGTGCTGAACGTCACACCAAATTAAAATGACATTCAGATTCTTAATTAAAGGAAATCAACACAAGATGTGTCTTACTCCCGACATCCTTCACTTATAATAGACTGCTTTCAATTGAATTAGTTATAATTATTATGCGTATAACCAAGAAATCATACCTGATCATACTATACTGTCTGTTGAAGTAATTCTGATAGAAAGGGAAGACCTAATAGGTTAGACAGGAAGAAGTTCTAACAGTACATTTCTGTAACCATCTGACTCTGGAATTTGGAGATTCATTCCCCTGAACCGGTGAAACGCAACAGGTAAGACGGGGAAATAAACTAAAGATATGAATTGTGACCACGACATGAATTTTAAGAGCGGATCCACGCCACTGAACCTGTAAAGAGCACAGCAGGTAAGACGGCTTGAAGTACTAATGCTATGAACTTTGACTAACACTGACCCTGAAATACAGTAATAAGCAACTGAACCTGTCATATGGACAGCAGGTAAAGCGGCTTGTATCATTGATGCTATGAACTGTGTCTAAACTTGAACCTGGAATAAGGAAATAAGCCACTGAACCTGTGATAATGAACAGCAGGTAAGACGGCTTGATGTGTTGATCTGTGCTGTGACTAGACCTGAAATACAGAATTAAGCCACTGAATCTGTGATAATGAACAGCAGGTAAGACGGCTTGATGTGTTGATCTGTGCTGTGATAATGAAAACAGCCACTGAATCTGTGATAAGACAGCAGGTTGACGGCTTGATGTGTTGATCTGTGCTGTGACTAGACCTGAAATACAGAATTAAGCCACTGAACCTGTGGTGCGCACAGCATGTAAGACAACTTGATTTATGCATGATCTGACGATGTAGATTAACAAGACGCAGAATCAGTGACATGACACCCCGTAACAGAAATAATGTATGTATTGTGTTACGGAATGAAGGCACTGTGTCTGTGATGTGAACAGCATGTTACAGAGAACTTAGAGAATTGGTATGTACATTGCAGATATATATATATAATACGAAAATTAATACAATTGGGGGTGAGTGGGGCTGGATGGAGGGTTTGGCGTGAAGAAATGGCCTGCTGCCTCATCAATTTCCAGATCTGTAGCAAGTCCCCAAGTTTTGTGCTTCGCGATAGGAATATTAAGTGTATCGAAAAACCTCCAAAAGTTTGACTACAGTATCCTCAGTCAACAGTTAAAAGGTCATCCAAGAGGTGCAGCACATGAGGGATATGATATCTGTTATTTAAAATCCAACAAATAGCAGTCGACAAGGTGTCAGAGATTTTAGGGCTGGATCTGCCTCCAAAAACTAGTCTTGTATAAAAATAATAATTGTGACCCCACATAATCCCGTGAAAAGGCCATAAAGATGGATGAATTGGTAACAGTTTGAAAGCATTGGAGATGTTTGTTTTACACAGCCAGCTATGTTGTCCTAAAAATTTGATAATACTAATAGCGTAGTCAAAAGTTACATATTGTAATGAATATTCATTTTATCAATATGGTCATTCAAGCTGGGGTTATTTTTGTCGTGGAGCTGACAAATCCACAATAAATATCTTCTTTTTATACTATTTTCCCTCAGCTATACCTCAGCTATGACATACACTTGACATGTGGAATTAAAACTATAACTTACTATGTATATGTAAACTCTTCCATATATACTCTATGATAATTTATCAATTTGATGTTTCACGTGCATGTGCACCTATATATACATGTATATACTATTTATCATGTATTTATACTATCAAATGTTTTCTATCCATGTTCTATACTCTCTGTACTCTTCATTTTGGAGGCAATAAAGAGAATAATAATAATACCGATGGGATTGATTCTATAAACTGGGAAAGGTATGGTCTCAAAGGGCCCAGCTAAAAACCCTTTCTTCAGCTCTGTGTCTATTAATTCCTGCACCATGTCTGGCTGTCCTAGCAGATCTATGAAATAAGCCACAAAACTCTTATCTGGATGAGAGGACAGTTCCAACTCTAACTTGTCAATGTTGATAGGTGTAAGCACTGTGGGGAGCCCCCTATTGATTTCCCCGCTTGTGGAGGTTCTGGGGGCTGAGTTGGTTTTTGAACCGGTGACCTGAGAACAGTCTCTTTTAGCATGATCTTTTTGGCATATCAAACATACACGCAAGTTGCTACAATGAAATCTTCTACACCCCCTGTCGGTGAAATTATTGCGAATTTCCTTTCCTTGATGTATGTTTTAAACCTGCCGTGCTTGTCCATGTTTGTGTTGCTGTTGGTGTATCGTTGTTGTTGGGTTTCAGTCGACAACTGAGGGCAAAAACCGGCTTTGTGGCTGGCGGTGTTACATATATTGCAGCTGATGGGTTTAAGGTTAGTGAAGATATTACATAACAACGCATTGTTCCTGATTGACCAGTCTACTCTAATATTCTTGTTAGTGAGATACGCTGCTGCTTTGGCACTAAATTGTTTGTGATATTCGTAGAATCCATTACTCCCATACCTAGAGGCCATATCAATGATATCCCTCTCGTATATGTCTAATGCCTCCCTCCTAGATGGAAAAGCTTGACACATGATATTCTTAGAAATGCCGAAGGCCTGAATAGATTCGCCGATCGTTAGGTTTCTCTGAAGTCTGGGGTCCGGTTATGATTCTGCAGTCCCGCTCCCCGAATTATGAGGGCCTGTGAAGTATGGTATTAACAGGACAGCGAAATTTATGTCCTTACCTTCGACGATGTGACGACGTAGGGTTGGCGATATAACCTCTACGAATGGCAGGGACTCCGCAGGGTAACCATGTTGGGTCCTGACGAAAGAATGTGTACCCATATTAGCAATCGGCGATATCTCGGACGTCTGAGATGAGCGGGCGGCAATCGCAGTCTGCAGGGTAAATCTGGGACCAACCTGATGATCGTTGGTAATGTACAGTTGATTCCCCACATCAGAGCTGGAACCATCACGGTTTGTAATGTGGTGTTGACCCTGTATCACATGTGGCAAGTTCGCATCTCTAACTACTTGAACTGAACATCCTGCTGAGGCAGCTGGAAGCGGCCTGCTTTCAATTGTATGAATTCTGTCCTGCAGAGTCTGCATTTCCTGACGGATATTGGACAACGAATCCGCCAACTGGGCTGAGATAGTGTCGGTGAACTGGGAAATGGTCGACAAGACGCGATCTTTTTTGTTTGTGTCGCATGGTGCATTCTGGGAGCGATATATTTACGTATCCGCCCAGGTGCCTGATCGTCTGTCTCCGTCACGGTCGAATGATCGTGCTCGTTGGCACCAGCCCTGTTGTTCGTGCGTGCCTTTTGTACATTGAAATAAGAGTGGTTTAGTTTAGCTGTAGTCCAGTTTCCCGGCATAATCAGGTCATAAGGCGTTGACCGAGAGCTATGCCTCGTCCTTTGTTTAGGACCCATTCTACAACACAGTGTAGCTTGTAGACCTAATTACACCCAAATTGGATGATAAAACGTCGGTCCAGTAAACACGTTGCGATGTTATAAAGTGGGCATCGTCATCATGAAGTAGTATAGATCCCAGTAGATAAAACACGACGAAATAAACACTTGATCGATAACCCCGCCAATAAGGGTATACATCACTCACAGGGGGTTCCCAGCAGCACACGAGAACAAAAGTTCCTCCAAGTTTATAGATCACCAAATAAATAAGTTCTCCCCGCCTGTCAGAAGTCTCAGACGTGTGTTTAATAGACACTCTCGAGAAAGGAACCATTTTGTCGCGAAGCAGTTTGTCGTGAAAATATGAGTTTGTCGTGAAGAAATGGCCTGCTGCCTCATCAATTTCTCCAAACAAACTGCTGCTTACCGTCCCCTATTGAACTGACCATTGATCAGTGATGGTCACGTGACCTCCCCTAATTGATATAGCAAGATGACGTCAGTTATGCATATAAATGAACCTGGAAATGAACGTGTACATAAGAACTAATCACATCACAAATTGATATAAAACTTGAATGGACCCACCACGTATAATAAAGAATAACATACATACAAATTAAAACTACACTATATAGCATACAACATAATACCATATTTATAAACATGATATACAGTGATAGTTTACAGTTATAATGTGTATTTGTATCAACGTAAATTAAATGAATTTCAATTAATACACCTTGTATAAAAGTAGTCAAACAACGTAGTAAAACAACGGCATCATGTTTATTTGTAAGGTAAAACCTCGGTATAATGTCCCGCGTTTATTTGTACAATAAAACCTCGGTAAAAAGTCCCTCGTTTATTTGTACAATAAAACCTCGGTATAATGTCCCTCGTTTATTTGTACAATAAAACCTCGGTATAATGTCCCGCGTTTATTTGTACAATAAAACCTCGGTATAATGTCCCTCGTTTATTTGTACAGTAAAACCTCGGTATAATGTCCCTCGTTTATTTGTACAATAAAACCTCGGTATAATGTCCCTCGCTTATTTGTACAATAAAACCTCGGTATAATGTTCATTGTTTATATACAGTTGACTAATGACTGTTATGCATATATACAAGTAATATTGCACTCGATGTACCCTTAGTCATCCTAAATGTCGATATTTATAATCCCTGTCGTATAATTTTCCCATGATAATTGATAAATGGAATGGAAAACCAACCGGTGAAGTAACAAATCATGTATATTGTTGTGTAAATTACGGTGATTACATGGCCTGTGGGGGTACTTCTCTGCTACATCAACACGACATTTAACAGCTTTATATCAAACAGAATATATAAGAATTACTATTATATGTGTGCTATGATGAAAACTGGTTGTGAAATACAACGGGTTATTGGACATCATACAAAACAACACCAGATATGTAAATAGAGTTCCCTACACAATGAACAGCTGCTCCCAAATGTATAATTATATCAAAGTTCTATACCAGAGTGTTCTCTGCTATCATACTATTTCCGGATGTGCTGCAATTAACAACGGGATCACGTGGCTATCGATCACAAATCACACGTCCTGTTAGGATATCGATCTTTATGAAGCTGTCTGGACCAATTTGTAAATACGAAACTAATCTGTTGTCTCATTTGTAAACAAGAGTTCTCTCTTTTTGTAGATATTATTTTGAAAAGGAAGAACTACACTCGCTATGGTATTCAAAATAACGATGTTTTTTCGTATATTATGATTGCAAACATATTTAGTTATCTCGTTAAATTTTAAAAGTAATATTTCACTATATTTCAGTCAGGAAATACCGCCAGATTACCAGGAGGTTGTGGCAGAGGATCAAAGTGAAAATAAAGCAACAGATAGAACAGGTAAATAACTAGAATGATCAAATTACAGGTAAACAAACAAAATTTTCAAACAACAGGTAAACAGTCAGAATGTTCAAACAACAGGTAAACAGTCAGAATGTTCAAACAACACGTAAACAGTCAGAATGTTTAAACAACAGGTAGACAGTCAGAATGTTTAAACAACAGGTTAACAGTCAGAATGTACAAACAACAGGTAGACAGTCAGAATGTTTAAACATCAGGTAGACAGTCAGTATGTTTAAACAACAGGTAAACAGTCAGAATGTACAAACAACAGGTAGACCGTCAAAATGTTTAAACAACAGGTACACAGTCAGAATGTTTAAACAACAGGTAGACAGTCAGAATGTTTAAACAACAGGTAAACAGTCAGAATGTACAAACAACAGGTAGACAGTCAGAATGTTTAAACAACAGGTAGACAGGCAGAATGTTTAAACAACAGCTAGACAGTCAGAATGTTTAAACAACAGGTAAACAGTCAGAATGTACAAACAACAGGTAGACAGTCAGAATGTTTAAACAACAGGTAAACAGTCAGAATGTTTAAACAACAGGTAGACAGTCAGAATGTTTAAACAACAGGTAAACAGTCAGAATGTTTAAACAACAGGTAGACAGTCAGAATGTTTAAACCACAGGTAAACAGTCAGAATGTTTAAACAACAGGTAAACAGTCAGAATGTACAAACAACAGGTAGAGAGTCAGAATGTTTAAACAACAGGTAAACAGTCAGAATGTACAAACAACAGGTAGACAGTCAGAATGTTCAAACAACAGGTAAACAGTCAGAATGTTCAAACAACAGGTAAACAGTCAGAATGTTTAAACAACAGGTAGACAGGCAGAATGTTTAAACAACAGGTAGACAGTCAGAATGTTTAAACAACAGGTAAACAGTATGTAGACAGTCAGAATGTTTAAACAACAGGTAAACAGTCAGAATGTACAAACAACAGGTAGACAGTCAGAATGTTCAAACAACAGGTAAACAGTCAGAATGTTCAAACAACAGGTAAACAGTCAGAATGTTTAAACAACAGCTAGACAGTCAGAATGTTTAAACAACAGGTACACAGTCAGAAAGTTCAAACAACAGGTAAACAGTCAGAATGTACAAACAACAGGCAGACAGTCAGAATGTTTAAACAACAGGTAGACAGTCAGAATGTACAAACAACAGGTAGACAGTCAGAATGTTTAAACAACAGGTAGACAGTCAGAAAGTTCAAACAACAGGTAAACAAAAAACACGATCCGCCACTTACTGTACACTATCTCACATAGAGAACACTTGCTGTACACTATCCCATATAGAGAACACTTGCTGTACTCTATCTCACATAGAGAACACTTGCTGTACACTATCCCACATAGAGAATACTTGCTGTACACTATCCCACATAGAGAACACTTGCTATACACTATCCCACATAGAGAACATTTGCTGCACACTACCCCCCAGAAAGAACATTTGCTCTTCACTATCTGCCATAAAGACAGGGAGAACATTTGCTCTACACTATCTGCCATAAAGACAGGGAGAACACTAGCGAATAATAAATATATTTGTACTCCTCAGACAACGTGAATGTTGGATTTGAACCGGACATTGACAGAATCGAGGTGGCAGTCGAGTCGACAGAGGGATCCAAGAAAGGCGGTATAACAGGTAAAACAACTCCAGCAGCTTCATCAGTCATACCGTCCTCCAGCACCAGTGAAAAAAAGGCCAGCAACATCCAGGGTATGGAAACACTCACTACCCAGGAGGAAAAGATGCTATCTGTGGTATGTATGATTATACTGTTCAGTATTTACAAAAAATCGAGACTATTTAGGAAAAGGCATTGCTATTGAATAGGTTCATCAGTATCAATTCCTTTCTACTCTCTCAGCGTCTATAATTATCACCCGGGTCAGCTGTTTGCTTGTTAGGACCGAAGTTTACACTACAAAAAGACCTAGCAACGCAGATATACCTCCGCAAAAAGTGATATAACATGTGTTTAGAAATTAGTTCACGAAGTGATTGATGCTGTTATTTTATAAATACATGTATATAAGTTAGATATAAAAAGAAAACACAAAATTGTTATAAGATGTTGTGTTTTATATGACAGCTTAGAACTATTTTGTACAGATATTACTATGGATGATCCTGGAAGAAAAAGTACATCCTCTACACTATTCGATTTATCTCCCTTGTCAATGCTTTCGAAATTTCTCACACTCTAGATATTTTGTGGTAAGGTCTTAATTCCACGACTTAACTAAGAAGATGTTGAAATATTTTAAATGATTTTTTGGAAGATTTTTTGGTAACTATTTTCTGACATATTTCTAAAACCGAAAATTTGTCTTTTAATTTCGTCTCGGTAGACCTACCATCGCGGAATTTCCATCAATATTTAAGTCCCTGGTACCACTGTCTCCAAGATCGAGTTTCTAACGCGATTTATCAAAAAGACGTGTGAAATATGTTTATCTTTTGAAAATGTTATGATAACAATAAATAAACTGAAAAGTTTATAAAAACTTAAATACGAAACAACACTGACTATAGCATAGAGTAAACTTTTTTATGACAAATTCTGTTGTTCAGCTTAGACTCTGTTCGTATACATGGACGAGAAAACGATCAAAGGTATGGGAAATATATTGCTTAAAGAAATAAATTGCAGTCGGCAACCTTCGTAGATGTGAACAAAGCATCTTTAGATTACGTCATCGAATTGGTGCTAATAAAGGCTCGTACTTATTTCAATATCGGCACAATGCTGTTTGCTTGTTCTAACAGCATATCATGAAAAAATGTTTAAACGCTTGGACAGCTAAAATACTTGTTTTTTTAATGTTATTTCTGTCTTGTGATTTACTCTTTACGTTCTTGCCTTAATTTCGCATGTGTACTATGTACCATCGTGAGCAAGGATGTATCAACTCGTTTTCCGTTGAAGTGAAACCTATTATGTAGTCGTTGTTGATTGTATCTGGACATTGAAGGCATAATTGGTTTATATCTTAACTTAGAAATGTAAATGCTTAGATCTTCTTGGATTTTGATGCAAATTATTAATATATACAGATTGGAAGGAGTAAGGAAAACCGCAGTCCCTTGCTGTTGGGGTTTAAATTTGGCCTATAGCTTGAATTCTTCTTCGTGGTTTTAATCTCCACCAATACTGATGATTCTGTTGAGACTATAGTGATCCTTAAGTCTCTAGCCAGGCACTCTACCACTAGATTAAAGAGAAATTCCAACTACCCAAGACTAGAAAGGTGACCATGTCTGCCCTCAACTTCTACAACTTTTAGTATCAGTTAAAAATATACACTTTGTATATAAATAACGTGCAGTGCTTAAACAAGCTATGAACGGATGGAATATTGTGAGAGGTACTTAAAAGTAGTTTTGGTGAAGAAGCAAATACTTAGTCGGTTGTCAGTAGCTAGTTATAATAACTGATCATCGATGTTGAAATCTCAATCCATCCCCATGTTAACAAAGCTTATTCTACGGATTTATGAGAGTGCACTACTATAAATGTTCAGTGGCCAATAGCCGTTCACTTCACTGCAGAAGGTGAATATTTCAGAGGCACACTTGACTGGACATGATTAGATATCACCTCTTTAATCACCCTCATCCACCATATTGATCATATGAAGATCTCATCATGACTGTGTCGTGAACCTTCATATGAAGTGTATATAATCAGCGTGATCAATCACCCAAGATTATATGCCATGCCGTATCGATATATCATTTCCTTCATTTCAATGTTTAAACATATTTTATTGCCAAAATAAATTTGAACAAGGAAATTGGACACAAGTTATTACAACTTATTGGAACCCTCTCCCATTTCAATACACATCATACACAAGGTCTTTGAGTGTCCTCGACACCTTTAGTTTTTTCGAAACGTAATTTTATAAAGAGCATTAATACTTTTGACACACAGGTATTTCTGATTCACACTTATTGTACCAATGATTATCAAATAAGTATTTATATGTTTTAATTATTAGATCATCTGAGACAGTCTCAAGTGACCTATTGCGATCACCTTTTGTCCGGCGTCCTACGGTCGTCCGTGCTGTTTTGGCACTGTTATTTATTAAAAGTAAACTTTATATAGCAATGAGGAATACATGAGTACTTTGAACATTAAGTGCAATGAAACTAAGAGGGTGTTAAAATAATTTAAAAATCGCTTTCAGCTACGTGACGTCGCACAGAAATGTACAAATGCTAATCCACTGAAACGCCCAACTGCAGAGCAGGTATTGAAAATGCTTCAAGCCATCAATCCGTATCCCGACGATTATGATGACGACGATGTAGACGATGACGATGCCGATGATGGCGACGATGTTGAAATGAAGTACAAGGTCGAGGACGTAGCCGTCACGAAAATTAGAAATGAAATTGCGCTAGTAACGTCCTAAGTAATACTACCTGCCATATCAAGGGGATCATTTACAGACATGTCCGTATTATGGTCATTTTTTACAGTCAACTTCCTTTTCCGGTTCGTCCATGCATCCTGCGTGAATCATAACCTGGTTTAGAGTAATGACTCAGTGTTATTTTCAACATATTTCCTTTTGTCTAGAAGTTTTTTTTGTCGATGTTTAACCTATCTCTTTTAATATGATATGTTACGTCATCAGTTTTTAAAGCACATTTTTTACTATTGGTTTTTGAATTTTACTCAACATGTTTTTTTCGAAGAGTTATTGCCCTTTGTTCTGTTAAGATTTTTTTTATCTTATTTGGTGTTTCTCGTTCTAAGTTTCTCTTGAGAAATAACATTGATTGTGTTTTAGTGACATTTTGACAAGGCAAAGACATTCATTGGTTCAATTCGGTAAAATCTTTTATATTTTCTTTTAATTTTCTTTGAAGTGTATAATACGCCATCAGCGATATCTTATTTGATAAGGTCATGCCCATTTATTTTGTATTTGATATATGCCTGCAGAATGAAGAAATTTCAAGTAGTTGTTAACAACTCCGTCATATATTTTCAAAGTCCAACTTCCTGACTGATAATTCGTTTCCAAATATTCAATAATTTTTATTAAAAAAATACTTTGTAATATTATATCGGATTTGTGTAAAGTGAAAAAATTAAAAAAAAATTATTTCCTTTCAGATAACCAAACAATATTAAATTTTTGACAAATTCAATTTTCGTAACATCAAACTACACATGCACATATTACACATACTCAAATTCACTTTACACGAAACACTGGACAACCTCCTCAGTGAACTTTTAACACTCTCGAATCTTTTTTTCAATAAAACACGATCTAATCCGACAACATGTCTATTCCATTTCTTCCATCTGTCAGTGAACGGTTTGAACATGTTTTTTTCTGCCATATACAAAACTCATCTTTTTTCGGAATCAAATCCTGAAGTCCATTTCACTGTTAACTTCTGACACTTCTTTTCAGAGTGAATCAGTTTTGTTTTCACCTGTGGATAAAATTAAAAGAGGAAATGCTAAAAAAAGACAAAGAAAAAAAATCTCTGAAAACAAATCTACGAAGATGTATTCTCGACAGATGTGACAACTTTATATAACATTATATGTACAGTTTGTATTGTTAATTCATGATCGGGCCTTAATAATGCACAGGGTTTCCTTGGTTTATCAAATAAATCTAGATAAATACATAGATGAGATAAATGAATAAATAAAAAGGATAAAATGTTAAATTATTACTGAAATAAAATCATGGATTGAAGATTTTCTATTTTATCAGATATTAATAAAAACACAGGAAAATGTTCAAGTTTTATATACGATTACGTTAAAGCCCCAATATACGTAACATTCACCAAAAATTTAGTGTAGAATCACACATAATTATTGAGATATTCTCTAAGATGTAGTTAGAATTAAGTTATTCAAACAATAGTTACCATGACTTTGTGCATAAAGTATTGATATATGAGCAGTTGAAACTCGCTATTTGTAAACACAACTCCATTTTAAACACGCCGCCATCGAAATTACGATTGTTGTCGAACCACGTCGGAAAGTTCATGACCTGATCTCGTGAGAGTTGAGGTTTCTACTTATAGGGGAAGCACATGCAGATATATCTACGGTAAGATTTTGTTTACAAAGATTGTTTGCGAAGTCTTGTCGTAGACTTGAGGTATTCCTGTGATAAACATTCAGTTTTTGGGAAATTATTAGAAGGAATAATTAGTTTAGAAACGATACGACGCACAATTATAACGTAAAAATTCAGAACTGGCCTGATGTATGATTGGAAAAAAAGGAAGCGACTGGTGAACGCATGTACAGTGTCTGCCATGTTTACACACGCGCGGAATATGCGCATGCGCAATGTCATCGCTACGAGCGGTAATGTATGAATTATTGTGGTTCCCACATTGTTTATTTTCCGATTTTTTCAATTTTTATTTAAATTGAAAACAGTCAGTTTTATTTTCTTTAATTAAAGGAAAGTATTTGTTTTGTTACATATATTATGCGGAAAATAAGATAAAGTTTGTTTTTTTATAGTGATTTTTACGTATATTGGGGTTTTAAGTAGTTTTTCTTCCTCGTAGGAACGTTATTGGAGAGTATCATAATTATATTTCACACTGTAAAATGATATGTACCATTTGTACCGTTCACCCCCACCCCCTTTCCCTATTTTGATAAAAGACAAAGTGTTCTAATGATTAAAGACTGAAAAGACAGTGTCCGTTATTGTGCATTTACGTAGTGTATCCTGTCAGACAGTTTATCTGAGTTTGAATAAAACTTCTTTTAAAAAGCGTGTTCTGTTTGCCGCTATAGACCATTCAATTTCTGAAAGAGCATTTCTGTGTGAAAGTGAGTCGTTTGTGGCACGTCGCGGAGGACTTGAATATGGTAGCTCTATCTCTACCAGAGTTGTCGTTCTTTAACAGTAACAGCTATATACCACTATTACGAGCGGTGTAATGTAGGGTACCGCAATGCACTCTGGGAGATCTTGTATGGTAGCTTTGAATCTGAAAGTCTGTTTCTGCTTCATTGTCCGCAAAAAGACACCAGACGAAATCCACCGAAGCGAAAAGGCACCAATAGGTGTAAAAAACAATACTTTACCTTTCAACTGCAGTTTATTTACCTCGGCTTGTCGGCTTTTTACTTCAGTTGCACATTTTTTCGTATTTCCGTTACTTAGTTTTGGCGGGGTTTCGCCTTTTACAGTGTAGCTTTCACGGAGTTTTGTTTTTTCGTTGATTTGCTTTTTCGCCTTGCGTCTTTTCGTCGGCAACAAAACTTTGCTGCACTTGAGAATCACCAGGACACATGTGTCCGCACATAATATTCATTCCTCACAATCACAATTAACGGACAATATCGTCATGGAACCACAGGGAACAGCACAACAAAAGGACGTGTTTAAGGAAATTAAAGCATGTGTGAAAAAGCACGTGCATACGAACAAAACGCCTAAATTAAATTGATTAAATTGTTCATGTTGAAACGTACTGCATTATCTTCTCCATCAATTTTAAAATGATTTTATTTCTTTGTTTCTAAATGAAAGCGTTACCTAGTTTCGAATATACTTGACAAGGATTGCGGAATCTGAGTTAAAATTGGTGAGGTTGTGTTCTGGAAATAATTGTGTTCAAAATAAAAACATAAACAGGTGAGTAAAATTTGACATTTTTCTACCTTTAGAGAGTCAGCTAGTATTCATTCAAGGAAACAAATTTCGAAACTTATTTCCGTCTGGAAGGAAAAACATGGTAATGTTTGACAAAACAAAAACTATGTTCATACTACTTGTGGGCCAGCTTGCAGTTTAAGATGGCAGAGTGGATAGTGTTATCAAATTGCATTGACACGAAGTGATCCTAGAATTATTTATTCTTCTTTGAAGACCTCTATCATCCCAATTTCCAGTATTAAGTTAATTCCACATTAATTGAAGTGCTGCTTTACAGTATTGAGAGAGACATGCGGTCAGTTATCACCATTACATTGTTACGAAGCTTATAATGCTTTCTGATTAAAAAAAATCTGGCCATGTTTGACAAATAATTCTAAAAAAAACCTACAATCAGTTTTCATTTACATGTTTTCTACTAACAAGCTTGTCAAACATATGACTAATCATTGTGGAAAAAGCAGAAATCGGTCGATACAGATTCAACAATAAGATGTTTTTTACGGAAACTCAAACAGATAGAAATCCTTGCAGTTGTCTGATTGTGGGTTTGACAAATTATTATTAATTCTTTGGCACTTGATTTCTCAAACAGACCTTTTTCCAAAAAATCAATGAATATGGAGCTGTCGAGAAAATGTTGTAACAAAATAAACATTTTCTGCGTAAAAATCGCCTAACCTCTGTAGAGAACTGACACGTCAGATTATATATATACAGGTATATATGTTTGACCTTTTGACCTTCATGTATATATGGTTAACCACCTCGACCTGTTTTTCTCCTTTTTAAGCGCAATTCAGTAACATTGAACATGCCAATATGCCAATTAATTTCTTTAAAGGCAGCAAAAACAGGTGTGTTTGATTATATAGTATATATAAATACTGTTTATATAGTTTGACCTTCACCTCTATAGAAAACTGATCCCTCGGATCATATATTTACATGTATATATGGTTAACCTTCACCTCTATAGAAAACTGACCCCCTCGGATCATATATTTACATGTATATACGGTTAACCTTCACCTCTAAAGAAAACTGACCCCTCGGATCATATATTTACATGTATATACGGTTAACCTTCACCTCTATAGAAAACTGACCCCTTAGATTATATAGATACAGGTATATATGACTTGACCTTCACCTCTGTAGAGAACTGACACGTCAGATTATATATATACAGGTATATATGACTTGACCTTCACCACAATAGAAAACTGATCCCTCGGATCATATATTTACATGTATATATGGTTAACTTTCACCTCTATAGAGAACTGACACCTCAAATCAAATATATACCTGTGTATATGATTTGACCTTCATCTCTATAGAAAACTGACCCCTAAGATTATATATATACAGGTATATATGGTTTGACATTCACCTCTACTGACCCCTAAGATTATATATATACTGACCCCTGGGATTATATATCATATATTTACATGAAGTTCACCTCTACAGAAAACTGACCCCTAAGATTATATATATACGGTTAACCTTCACCTCTATAGAAAACTGACCCCTAAGATTATATATAGATACAGGTATATCTGGTTTGAAGTTCACCTCTATAAAACACTGACCCCTAAGATTATATATAGATACAGGTATATCTGGTTTGAAGTTCACCTCTATAGAAAACTGACCCCTAAGATTATATATATACAGGTATATCTGGTTTGAAGTTCACCTCTATAGAAAACTGACCCCTAAGATTATATATATACAGGTATATCTGGTTTGAAGTTCACCTCTATAGAAAACTGACCCCTAAGATTATATATATACAGGTATATCTGGTTTGACCTTCACCTCTATAAAACACTGACCCCTAAGATAATCTTTAATCTAAGGAAAATTCCCGATGAGGGACTCTAGTTCTTTTCATAGTGTTTCTCTTCCGACTGCAACATAAAAGATATTTCCAAATCCGCTGTAATCTGAAATACTGTTTTTTTTTTTTTAATTTATTTATTTATTTATATTTTAAGATTGATTTCATTTTTCCTTCTGATCACAAGCTACAATGTACATAACCTATACGGAAACAAGCTCAAAATTAATTTCATAATTACTGTAAGTTGCAATGAAATGTGAACACTCTTGATATTTAAAATAAAAGTGAGAATTTACAATTATGTATTATAACTATACGAAACTTACCTCCTGATTACGAAGTAAATGACAGCTGATGCAAAAGCGACTCCAAATACAATGCCGATGATGATTCCGGCTATCTTTCCTCCACTCAGAGAGGAGCCACTGTTCTGTGTCCGTTTCGCTGCAAAAGAAGCATTCTAAAATATAAATATAAACTTGTATACTTAAAATATCAATATTTCACATTTTAAACAATGCTGATTTGGATGGCATTTACTACTTCGTTAAGCTTATTCGTAAGTTCATTTTTGGTCTTAACAGAATCTAGAAGAGGCAGAAGAGAATAGTTTTGGAGCATATATTGTTCTCCTTTTATTTTTCACGGAAAGGACGATAATTTTTTATTATTTTTTTTTATTAACTAATTCATTTATTTATTTGTCTATTTGTTCACGGTAACCTTATTTATTAGATTTTCTTCCATTCTTAAAAAACAATTAAAAAAACCCGAGAATAACCGAAAATCTTTGCAATAATAAGAAAAATAAATCGATTATTTAATAGTTACAGAAAAGACACATTTCAACAATTTCTCAACAGAAATGTATGTAACTTAAGTAAAAGAAAATCGCCATTTAAGGCTGTTGTTTATATGTATAATCATGAAATCTCCATTTTTTATAACTGTAACTAGTATAAAGTCTTAAAATCCTGTTATGAACCGATTTACAAATTCAAAGTTAAAATTCCACCGGAAGTAAAGGTTGTGAACGGATGTGACACTCGGAAAGACCGGAAAAAAGTAAAAGAAAATTATAGATAATAACTCACCAATATTACACTGATCACCCTGCCAACCGGAAATGCAGCCATCAACGCATGACCCATCTGTCCGCTCACAAATGTTATTGAGACAGTTATTTCCACACGTGAAATTGCACGTTAACCCAAAGTGACCAGCAAGGCAGCCATCTTGACATGAACCGGAAGTGAAATCACATACAGTCATATTGTTAGTATCCGGTTGGCAATTTCGACATTCCTCTTCGCATGTCAGTCCGTAATAACCGGAAGCACAACCGTTCGAACAATATCCGGAAAATTTTTCACATTTCTTAAAACCAGTTGAATGGAAACAATTACCACAATTTTTCATACAAAGTTGTCCAAAACTTCCGTGGTAACATGACCCATGAAATGGGAAATATGTATTCTTTTCGTATTCATTAACACAGTCGGGACATGGAATGCTACAGTTAGCGCCTCTAAATCCGACACCGCTGAATCCCGTGATACACATAAGACACATCCCAGTATCTTGGTCACAAACGTAACAATTCTCTGAACATTTCTTCTCGCAATATCTTCCATGTTTTCCCGGCATGCATCCTGTTTCGCAATCTTTCGTCTGACTACACGTCACGTCTAAACATCCGTGACATCTGGTATCACAGGTTTCCCCATAGTAACCAAGTTTACACTCTAAACAAAAAAAAAAAAAACTCGTTTTAAACTGATTTAAACAGGACAATGATATGAATTGAGATTGATATGTTGTTACATTTTATACAGGTGTCTATCAGACTATAGGCCCCATGTCACCTGTAAGATTATTATACCCCATAAACTACCTCACTCTGGAGCTCCATCAACTGTCAAGCTTACCACTATCTACTGGTAGAGCGACAAGGCTGGAAGTGATTCTAGAAGAAACACAATAATTGAACTGAAAAAACTGGCAGGGAGCATGGGACCATATACAACATATACATTTTTTGTATATCCTGCGAAAGACCTGCATCACTATTAATGTGACTATTCAAAAAAATGTATTATCTTTTTTCATCTTTTTCGATTATGGACATGTTATTGGCGATTGGAATGCATGGTGTAAGTATTAATCTAAAAATACACTTCTTAAGAGTGAAATTTATAAACGTATCGTTCATTTACATATATATATATATATATATATATATATATATATATCATAGGCGGTTTGCTTATACAGACACACAAACACGTATACAAGATTTAATTAGATAGTAAGGACGATTTGAACAAGAAATGTGATATTGTAAAAAATGTATATATAGAGTTGAAGTCTACGACCATTAACAGTTTAAGTAATCTTGGAAATGATATACATGGGAGTATTTTTCGTCACAACAGCAAGTAAAGTTTCAAGTTGGACTGTCTTGATAAGATATCCTTTTTACCTGAACAAGCCCCTGTTTGCCTGTCGCAGCTTTTGGTTAGACAGTTTGTCGGGCAGCTGGAGAAACAGTACTCGCCATACGTCCCATCCGCACATTTATGACAATTTCCGGTATCCCGGTTACATCCGTCTGCACTACAAAACGATGGACAGTCAATCAAACACCTTTCTGTGTAATATCCCGGCACGCATCCTTTAGTGCAGTTTCCGTCATTATTGTTGCACTTTCCGTCGATGCAATTTTCATTGCATTCCCCGTCACAAAAGTTTAAGGTAGAATGAAAGTAGCCGTCAACACATGGGCCGAAACACTCACCGGTAGTGGTGTTGCAGTTTCGGTTCAAGCAATGATCACATGGAACACAGCCTCCGTGAGAAACGATGTGATATCCTTCCGCACATCCGCTACAATATGCATCGTGCTGTTGCGGTGTTTTGTATGTTAGACACTTTTTACAGTGTGGAAAATTTACGCTGCATTGTATATCACATGTAGGAGTGACCCAATCGTCTTGACATCCCTGTTCGCATTCTCCAGTGTCAAGGTCACATGACCCATTGCAGTGCGTACTACATTGCGTATCACATGTCGGTCCGTGGTAATCAGCAAGACAACCGTATGTGCATGTACCGTTGACCCCATCACAGCTTCCGTTGCAATGGTCACTGCACGGACAACATCCGGAATCCTGCGTGAACCAGGATTCCTTTTTACACTTCAGACATTTATAACTACCAGATTCTCTTTGGGCGCACTCGGACCGACGACATGCGCAAATAGGCCCATAATTTTCATCCCAGCCATTACACATTCCAGGACAACTTTTTCCATCACGCGAACATTTTTCGCAATTGCTTGGACATCGTTTTTCGCATCTATCTCCATAATAACCGTCGATGCATGCAATACAAGTGCTGTTATCAACACAAAGGGCACAGTTTCCAAAACACGGCATTGAACAATCGTCCCCGTACCAGCCTTCTGCGCAAGTACATGCCCCAGTAAGCTGATCGCAGGTGTTATCTTTACAGTGAGCTGGACACGATCCGTTACAGTCTCGTCCTGTAAATCCCGGCAAACACTGGTAACAAAGAGGTATTCCGCCTTCATTTGAGCATCTATCACAGTTAGCAATTATACAACGTTCCTTACACGATAAACCTGTGTAGCCAGGCTTGCACCTGATGCAACTTCCGGACATCTGTATACAGCTCGGGCCGCCAAAGGGATTGTAGCAGTTTACAAAACACGTTTTGTTACAACTTTCTGTGCCCCAGAAGTTCGATTTGCACCCATAAATGCACTCTCCTGTTGCGGCGTCACATCCTTTGTCGCAATGTACAGGACATTTCTGATCACACCTATCTCCGAACCAAAAGGGATAGCAACCAAAACACGATCCTGATTGTCGGCACCCCGAATAACAATTTTCTGGACAAGTTTCATTGCAGTTTTCCCCATAAAAGCCTTTCGCGCAGGAGTTACAGACCCCTGTTGTTCTGTTGCAGCCATAACGACAATTTGTTGTACAATTCAAGCCACATTCTTCGCCGAAGAACCCACTTACGCACGTGCCGTTGCAGATGTCAGTGTTATTAAAGCAGTTCCCATCGCAATTGGGACATGACTGATCTACAACATCGAAAACAAATGAAAACATTGAAGATTGCCGGAAAAGAATATCGGTTTGCACGCACTTAATAAGGTCAGTCTAAAGGAGAAACATCCTGAAAAGCTGTTTTTATCAAGAGCTGCATTTCACTAAAACGTATACAGAGGTTGACAACGAGCTACCAGGTTTAATTTCCATCTCGGATGAATGACAATGTGAATAGCAAATTGACGCCAGTCCGAATATATTCTAACTTTCTATCGATTTTATTAACCAGTCGAAATAAAAGCGTGATAAAAAAAGGGATACTAGCGATATGCAACTTGGTTTGCATTCAAATCTTCATTTTCACACGAATACTGCACACGGATGGAGGGAATATTATGGAGTACATTGGATAGCATAAAGACATCAAACTGCTAATAAGAATTTTCGATGTAAGATATTAATATTTCCATATATATTGAGGCCTATAACTCGTCAGAAATAAACTCCTGACTAAAAACTGTACACCTGACTGAGATATGTACTCCTGAGATATGCACACCTGAGTGAGAAGATACGCCTGACTGAGATATGAACACCTGACTGAGATATATACTCCTGAGATATGTACAACTGAGTGAGAAATGTACGCCTGACTGAGATATGAACACCTGACTGAGATATATACTCCTGTGATATGTACAACTGAGTGAGAAATGTACACCTGACTGAGATATGTACTCCTGAGATATGTACACCTGAGTGAGAAATGTACACCTGACTGAGATATGTACACCTAGCTGTGATATGAACACCTGACTGAGATATGTACACCTGAATGAGATATGTACACCTGACTAAAAGCTGAACACCTGACTGAGATATGTACTCCTGAGTTAGAAATGTACACCTGACTGAGATATGAACAACTGATTAAGATAAATATACCGGACTAGGTAATGTATACCTAACTGAGAAATGTGCACCTGACTTAGATATGTACACCTGACTTTGATATGTACACCTGACTGAGATATGTACACCTGACTGAGATATGTACACCTGACTGAGATATGTACACCAGACTAAAAACTGAACACCTGACTGAGATATGTACTACTGACTGAAAAATGTACACCTGACTGAGATATGTACACCTGAGTGAGAAATGTACACCTGACTGAGATATGTACACCTAGCTGTGATATGAACACCTGACTGAGATATGTACACCTGAATGAGATATGTACACCTGACTAAAAACTGAACACCTGACTGAGATATGTACTCCTGAGTTAGAAATGTACACCTGACTGAGATATGAACAACTGATTAAGATAAATATACCGGACTAGGTAATGTATACCTAACTGAGATATGTACTCCTGATTGAGATATGAACTCCTGACTTTGATATGTACACCTGACTGAGATATGTACACCTGACTGAGATATGTTCTCCTGACTGAGATATGTACACCTGAATGAGATATGTACACCAGACTAAAAACTGAACACCTGACTGAGATATGTACTACTGACTGAAAAATGTACACCTGACTGAGAAATGTACACCTGACTGAGATATGTACAACTGATTAAGATAAATATACCGGACTAGGTAATGTATATCTAACTGAGAAATATACTCCTGACTGAGATATGTACACATGACTGAAATATGAACACCTGACTAAAAACTGAACACCTGACTGAGATATGTACTCCTGACTAAGATATATACTCCTGACTGAGATATGTACACCTGACTGAGATATATACTCCTGACTGAGATATGTACTCCTGACTAAGATATATACTCCTGACTGAGATATGTACACCTGACTGAGATATATACTCCTGAGATATCTACACCTGAGTGAGAAATGTACACCTGACTGAGATATGTACACCTGACTGAGATATGTACACCTGACTGAGATATGTACACCTGACTGAGATATGTACACCTGACTGAGATATGTACACCTGACTGAGAAATGTACACCTGATTGAGATATGTATACCTGACTGAGATATGTACACCTGACTGAGATATGTACACATGACTGAAATATGAACACCTGACTAAAAACTGAACACCTGACTGAGATATGTACTCCTGACTAAGATATATACTCCTGAGATATGTACAACTGACTGAGATATGTACACCTGACTGAGATATATACTCTTGAAATGTGTACACCTGAGTGAGAAATGTACACCTGACTGAGATATAAACACCTGACTGAGATATGTACTCCTGACTTAGATATGTATACCTGACTGAGATATGTACAAATGACTGAGATATGTACACCTGACTGAGATATGACGACCTGACTGAGATATGTATACCTGACTGAGATATGTACACCTGACTGAGATATGTACACCTGACTGAGAAATGTACACCTGACTGAGATATGTACACCTGACTGAGATATGTACATCTGACTGAGAAATGTACACCTGATTGAGATTTGTACGTCTGACTGAGATATGTACACCTGACTGGATTAAAATGGAATAAAAAAAAATTAATGATAAGAACATTTAAAATATTCTACGTAAAAACTAAAGTAACCCTATTTGAGGCACATCTAAGTTGGACCATAATGTATCACTAAATGACGTCGTTCAGACGTGTATGCCATTCAGTAATCACAAGATATAATATTCATACAGAATATTAATAATAGTCCTACGACTATAGATGACATACAACTGTAAGCAGAAGCAAAGAGCTACTCGAGTTACTTCCCTTTGTTTATGGAAAGAAGGGGTTTTTTTTGGGGGGGGGGATGGGGTTGGGTTGTAAAGAACTTTGTCTTTTTGATGTCCGCTGTCTAAAGGAAAACAATATCCTGTATTTCAGGGTTCTCGAATTTACCTTTCCACATATATCGACGAGATCGATTATCAAACTAAAGGGTTCTCGTTTCAAGGTCACAGGGGTCCAAAGTACTGTATTCGAATTTCAAAGTTCTACTCAACAACCAAAATATACAGTCAAGGGAATGAACCGTAAAAAGAGTAGTGGTTTGAAATAAGAGTGAAGAGACAATGTTCTAATTCAATCGCCTGTTCCACATCATCAAAATTAATGTGGAAATTAGGTCCAATTCTTACACGCTTCCTGCGGGGCTAGGGAAGGCTGGTTTGTTTTTATATCGCCTACTGTCCTGTTAACATATATGGTCATTTAAGTTCGGACAGAGCAGATAATACGTCACCGTTTCTGATTCGGATGAAAAGTTTGAACTGAAATATTTATGTTAAACTCGTGCATCTTCAATATCAATATCGAATGTTACCTAGTAAGTCATCCTGTTGTAATGTCGTGTCCTCCGGGGGATTCAGGCTCGACTGACAGCAGCTCAGGGTGAACACTGAAGCACTCACAATTAGCAAAAATAGCAAAATCCTTCCAAACTCCATGACTGAATCGGCGTTTCAGGTAAATATCTTTCAAGTGTACAAACAGGTACATAGATACTGTGTACGTATATCTATATACAACCACAGCCTACCACTGATAAAGATATATCTTCTCATTTCATATATACCAGGGACACGGGTGTTCTCCTATTCTATGTGAAAAATTTTCCATGTATTTAATCATGCCCATTTGAGTCATATTTTCAACATATGATATTTCAAAATACAAGGTTGTGAAATATAACAGTATCTGTCTTTGTGACTCTGAATGATAGACTACCGAGCGGACAACGGAATGGTACTAGGATCTCTTTCGGAAGAGCAATATTTACATAAGAAAATATGCAGATGATAGGAAACGTTTAGTTTAAACAATATTTTATTCAATGTTTAACATTTAGATATACATATAATTCAAATCTTAACTAAGAGGATTTGGTAACAAGCTTAAAGCTTATGTAAAACCATCTCCTAAAATGTTATACCATTCACATATGACAGAGTGGTCCAACTAAAAAGGAATGCTGGTGGCAGCTATAAAATTACAATCCGAGTACTGATCATGTGTTTGAACTGTAGTCGCGTGCAAATTAGATATGAGTTGTTTTTAATTCCCTATATTACCTCTGAACTGAATAGTGCAGAGAGTATAGAATATTATAACATATAACATAACATTTGGTATAATTAAGCATAGATACATAGTAAGTACAATAATAAAGTATATAGGTACTTAATAAGATAGTTGTACATGCACATGGAGAAACCGACCTTATAATGTGGAAAGCATAATGATAAACTGGTATTAATACATTTGAGTAAGTAAAATATTGTGCAAGATATGCACTGTAATGATAATTTTGTAGGCCCACATCACACAGGGGTTGGGGATACCCCTACCAGCAAGGTGTTGCAGGCTCTCAATTTTTTCACAAAAAATATAAATACATTATGCCATGCACATATATCATCATTTTAAAGCCCAATTGATGCATGCATTGGGTATAGTCATATTTGCAATTTGTAAGAATATAAGTGTAGTACACTATACAACATCATTATGCAATATAAGTTTGTAGGCTCACAGCACACAGGGGTTGGGGATAGCCCTACCAGCAAGGTGTTGCAGGCCCACAATTTTCACAAAAGATGTAAATACATTATGCCATGCACATATATCATAATTTAAAGCCTAGTTGACCCATACATTGGTTATAGTAATATTTGCCATTTGTAAGAATGTAAATATGGTACAATATGGCGACATAGCACTCATAAAAAATAATAGGTACAGTATTTGTAGTGAAGGTAAATCATTATAAGTATATAATATGTCCATACTAAGGGCAAGTATATTATATTAATTAGGGACTAAATTTCATATTACTGATACATGTAAGTACTTTGCGGATACCGTTAAAGTACGTATATGTTACGTTGGTAAATAATGCGTGAATGGATATCTACATTCAACTAAAGACAAATATAGTATTTCTACGCAGTTGAGAGCGAGTATGGGTAAGTAATTTATGATTACATCGGTAAGAGGTACAAGGTTTGCAATGAAAGTACATCGTGACCAAGTGATTGA